TATTATACTTAATCATTCGTTTTATACAACAATTAGATGCAAACCTCATAACTGGGAAGTGTACACCCCCAAAGATACAGTTATGTTGTTCCACCATCTTTAATGACATCACAACAAATTTGACATGATTGTTCTTTGAGTCCCCACCGACCATTTCCCACATTCTTTGAAGTAGGAATATTGTTTCATTATCCACTTTTGGATGTTAGAGTCTTGGCGGGAAGACTTCCTTTGTTCCACAGGGAAATTCCCTCTCCCAATAGTGCATGGCACGGAAAATAAAGTTTCTGTAAGGAAATTACAACCAGTTATAAAACTGCCCCCCAGGAAAGGGGGTGTTCAAACCTTTGCCTAGCTGGCATCTTTGATCCTCATCCCATGAGGGCAAGTCATGACAGCCCTCCTCTGGTGGTTCAATCTTGGTATTAATTATGGCAAGTTGCAACCCACCATAAAAATGACCACGGGATATCCTGGTTGTGGATCATCGTTGCGGTCCCTCTCTGGAGGTTTACCTTGGTAGGCTTTCTTCCAACGGAGCAGTCCACCACAAGAATGGGCAGCGGGCGTCCGGGTTGGGCATCGCTGTTCCGGACCCGTTGTCTGGTCGTCCAGGCTGGTAGATCTGGGCAGTAATTTAAGCAGATGTTAACAATGCAACACACACACTCACGAAATACATAATTACATTTCTTTCCCAAATGAGCGGCGTTGTGGCACTAACTGATGGTTGTATGGGGAACTTGAGCTTTTAACAGACATCAGAATTTTAAATAAATGCATATATACATTCGAAAGTATTCAGACCCCTTGACTTTTCAAAATTTTCTTTCGTTACAGCCTTATTCTAAAATGGATTAAATATATTTTTTCCCCTCATCAATCTAAACACAATACCCCATAATGACAAAGCAAAAACTGGTTTTTAGACTTTTTTGCAAATGTATTAAAAATAAAAAACGGAAATATCACATTTACATAAGTATTCAGACCCTTTACTCAGTACTTTGTTGAAGCATCTTTTGCTGCGATTACAGCCTTGTGTCTTCTTGGGTATGATGCTACAAGCTTGGCACACCTGTATTTGGGGAGTTTCTCACATTCTTCTCTGCAGATCCTCTCAGGCTCTGTCAGGTTGGATGTGGAGCGTCGCTGCACAGCTATTTTCAGGTCTCTCAAGAGATGTTCGATCGGACCAAAGTCCAGGGCTCTGGCTGGGCCACTCAAGGACATTCAGAGACTTGTCCCGGAGCCACTCCTGTGTGCTTAGGGTCGTTGTCCTGTTGGAAGGTGAACCTTCGCCCCAGTCTGAGGTCCTGAGCGCTCTGGAGCAGGTTTTCATCAAGGATCGCTCTGTACTTTTCTCTATTCATGTTTCCCTCGATCCTGACTAGTCTCCCAGTCCCTGCCACTGAAAAAACATCCCCACAGCATGATGCTGCCACCACCATGCTTCATCGTAGAGATGGTGCCAGGTTTCCTCCAGACGTGACGCTTGGCATTCAGGCAAAATAGTTCAATCTTGGTTTCATCAGACCAGAGAATCTTGTTTCTCATGGTCTGAGAGTCCTGTAGGTGCCTTTTGGCAAACTCCAAGCGGGCTGTCATGTGCCTTTTACTGAGGAGTGGCTTCCATCTGGCCACTCTACCATAAAGGCCTGATTGCTGAAGTGCTGCAGAGATGGTTGTCCTTCTGGAAGGTTCTCCCATCTCCACAGAGGGACTCTGGAGCTCTGTCAGAGTGACCATCGGGTTTTTGGTCACCTCCCTGACCAAGGCCCTTCTCCCCCGATTGCTCAGTTTGGCCGGGCGGCGAGCTCTAGGAACAGTCTTGGTGGTTCCAAACTTCTTCCATTTACAGTGAGGGAAAAAAGTATTTGATCCCCTGCTGATTTTGTACGTTTGCCCACTGACAAATAAATGATCAGTTTATAATTTTAATGGTAGGTTTATTTGAACAGTGAGAGACAAAATAACAACAACAAAATCCAGAAAAACGCATGTCAGAAATGTTATAAATTGATTTGCATTTTAATGAGGGAAATAAGTATTTGACCCCCTCTCAATCAGAAAGATTTCTGGCTCCCAGGTGTCTTTTATACAGGTAATGAGCTGAGATTAGGAGCACACTCTCAAAGGGAGTGCTCCTAATCTCAGCTTGTTACCTGTATAAAAGACACCTGTCCACAGAAGCAATCAATCAATCAGATTCCAAACTCTCCACCATGGCCAAGACCAAAGAGCTCTCCAAGGATGTCTGGGACAAGATTGTAGACCTACACAAGGCTGGAATGGGCTACAAGACCATCGCCAAGCAGCTTGGTGAGAAGGTGACAACAGTTGGTGCGATTATTCGCAAATGGAAGAAACACAAAAGAACTGTCAATCTCCCTCGGCCTGGGGCTCCATGCAAGATCTCACCTCGTGGAGTTGCAATGATCATGAGAACGGTGAGGAATCAGCCCAGAACTACACGGGAGGATCTTGTCAATGATCTCAAGGCAGCTGGGACCATAGTCACCAAGAAAACAATTGGTAACACACTACGCCGTGAAGGACTGAAATCCTGCAGCACCCGCCAGGTCCCCCTGCTGAAGAAAGCACATATACAGGCCCGTCTGAAGTTTGCCAATGAACATCTGAATGATTCATTGGAGAACTGGGTGTAAGTGTTGTGGTCAGATGAGACCAAAATCGAGCTCTTTGGCATCAACTCAATTCACTGTGTTTGGAGGAGGAGGAATGCTGCCTATGACCCCAAGAACACCATCCCCACCGTCAACCATGGAGGTGGAAACATTATGCTTTGGGGGTGTTTTTCTGCTAAGGGGACAGGACAACTTCACCGCATCAAAGGGACGATGGACGGGGCCATGTACCGTCAAATCTTGGGTGAGAACCTCCTTCCCTCAGCCAGGGCATTGAAAATGGGTCGTGGATGGGTATTCCAGCATGACAATGACCCAAAACACACGGCCAAGGCAACAAAGTAGTGGCTCAAGAAGAAGCACATTAAGGTCCTAGAGTGGCCTAGCCAGTCTCCAGACCTTAATCCCATAGAAAATCTGTGGAGGGAGCTGAAGGTTCGAATTGCAAAAAGTTAGGCTCGAAACCTTAATGACTTGGAGAAGATCTGCAAAGAGGAATGGGACAAAATCCCTCCTGAGATGTGTGCAAACCTGGTGGCCAACTCCCTCTGTTTTGCAGAGGGGTCAAATACTTATTTCCCTCATTAAAATGCAAATCAATTTATAACATTTTTTACATGCGTTTTTCTGGATTTTTTTGTTGTTATTCTGTCTCTCACTGTTCAAATAAACCTACCATTAAAATTATAGACTGATCATGTCTTTGTCAGTGGGCAAACGTAAAAAATCAGCAGGGGATCAAATACTTTTTCCCTCACTGTAAGAATGATGAAGGCCACTGTATTCTTGGGGACCTTCAATGCTGCAGAAATGTTTTGGTACCATTTCCCAGATCTGTGCCTTGACACAATCCTGCCTCGGAGCTCTACGGACAATTCCTTCTACCTCATGGCTTGGTTTTTGCTCTGACATGCACTGTTAACTGTGGGACCTTTTATAGACAGGTGTGTGCCTTTCCAAATCATGCCCAATCAATTGAATTTAATCAATTGAACACTACAGTAATGTCCGCAAAAACACTACAGTCTGTGGTAACTGGATTGGGCTGGACCCTGTGGTTGAGGCAGATCAGAGACAGGGTGCAGCCATGCTGCGTCAGCAGTGGAAACTGGCCCCCCTACAGGGCTGTCCCTAAGACATCCACATGGACAGGTGTGCCACAGTGAGATGGACAGGTGTGGCGCTGTGGTGTGCCACTGTGGGACATCAATATTGATGTTCCAGAACCACGCAGGGATCTGAGATCAGTCTTTAACAACACACTGACTCATCTGATCCCACGGTGAGCCCTCCCCTGCTGCGTCATGGGGCAGAGTGGTAAGAGGCCTGATGGGATTAAGCACTAGGGAAGGCCAGTCAGTTGCACACACACACACCATACACACACACCAATGTGTAATTGGGGCACTTTTTGAATTTGACCTTCAAAGTATCCTTTGGTGTAATAAGGTCACTGTCAGGGGATCAGCACTGTGTCAACTGATGAGTCGGATGATCATCACTGTGAATATTGTAAATAGTGATGATCAAGCTGTATCTTTGTCATCAGATTCCTATTGATGTTCAATTGTGGCAATAATGCAGCCTGTTCATGTTTCATAAGTTCAGCTCCTACACACTGATTTTGCGTCCCAAATGGCACCCTATTCCCTATATAGTGCATAAGGTAGGTAAAAGGGTGCCATTGGGACACAGCCTGATAGAGGGAATCAGACTGCTACCTGAAACTACTACAGCAGGGGAGTAGTACTAATTTATTGTGTAGCAATGCTGACTGAGAGGACAACTCCTGTATCTGACACACACCATACACCAGAGACAGACTACTGTACATTGGTTTATGATATGACCGACACAATGAGCAGGGATGGCCGTTACTGAATTCTCTCACGTGCACCACTAAGCAGACTGGAGTGTAAACTTGTTTTATGACCCTATGACACACATGCCATCCCTATGGTCAGCACAGAATTGCAGTTCTTAGAAGCACATACCAAATAACATTAGTACTGGCTGCAAACCTAACAATGGACAAAGCAATGTCCCCTCGGTCTCTCTCTCTTCACACTATCTTTTTGTCCCACCCCCTCACTGTCATGTGCTGCCTAGCAACTGCCACCATAAATAATATGTCTGTGTGTGTCTGCGGTGTGTGTGTGATAACAAAAAGGATGAATCTCTCTTTCAGTATACTCTTTTGCATTGTCAGCGTGCCAACTAAGATCTTCTCCATTGAATAGGATATTATCTCTAGTCCCTGTATGTATTTCGATTCATTAGGAACCGAAACTCTCTTCTCTCTCCCCACCACAGACAGACAGACTACACAAGGCCTAGCTCAGAAGCCCTATCATGGCGTCCAACAACACAGCAAGCATCGCCCAGGCCAGGAAACTGGTAGAGCAGCTGAAGATGGAGGCCAACATCGACAGGATAAAGGTGAGAAATTAGGCCTACATCACTGGCTAAGAGGATAAAGGACGTAACAGATATAGCGGAAATCTGTAGCGTAGCTTCACTGCCCAAGAGGATACAACATATATAGGAGAAATCGGTAGCATCCTTGCCCAAAAGGATATAGCAACCATACCGATATAGGAGGCATCGGTTGCCCTTTACATTACAGCATGGAAGACAGTGTAACATGGTGATAGTATGGTAACAACAGGTTATAGTTACCAATTTATTAGTCCATGAGGTGATGTAAAAGTACCGACCAATCTATTGTGTGGAATCTAACTCAAACTGTGTGTGTATGTCCCTCTCTTTCATTACAGGTGTCCAAAGCAGCAGCGGACTTAATGTCATACTGCGAAGCCCATGCCAAAGAGGACCCCCTCCTGTCGCCGGTGCCCGCATCCGAAAACCCTTTTAGGGAGAAGAAGTTCTTCTGTGCCATCCTGTAAACAGGATGTGGTTTATTTGGTCTGCTCATCTTGGGACATGAACGAGGACGTTCAATATGTAGACATCTTCTAACAGGGGGGCTCGGTGAAGTACTAGTGCCCCTTTCGCTACAATGGCACCTAAAGAGTGCAATTAAAAACCACAGAGTAACACGTAACCATTTACAGCGGTTAAGGGGTGTGCAGCATGTTTGATGGATCCATCTGTGTAGTCAGATGACAACAGAAGATAAGTATGGTTATCCACCTAAAAACATGATGGACAACCAATCAACCAAGTCTTCAGGTTGTGTTGGTTTTTTTTTTTAATGAAGGAAAAAACAACAACAAAATATTGTGTGGTTCTTTTGGAACTTGAAATCCAAGTGTTATGTTCAATGGTTTGTGGTGGGTTGGGTAGGTTAGGGTAGGTGGGCTGGCTAACTGTCCTGCTTACCACGAGATACTACCACCTGTTTATCTGAATGTTTTCATTTTTGATGTTGTTTATTTCATGTTGATTTTGATTCTGAGGTTCATTGGTTTGGCTATATCACTTAGATAACTTTCTATTATTGTATGTGATTACTGAAACGGCTGTTTAAACTTTTTCTTATTTTCTTTTTTTACATCAGAGTTGGTGAAAGCTTTTTTAATTGAACGTTTGAACGTTCAATTCAGTGATATTCTTTACAGACACGTTTCTTTAAACTTCTTCTGAGAATTGTTTTTTCTTCAGTATCGAAATATACAGTTGAAGTCGGAAGTTTACAAACACTTTGGTTGGAGTCATTAAAACTCGTTTTTCAACCACTCCACAAATTTCTTGTTAACAAATTATAGTTTGTGCATGACACAACTAATTTTTCCAACAATTGTTTACAGACAGATTATTTAACTTATAATTCACTGTATCACAATTCCAGTGGGTCAGAAGTTCACATACACTAAGTTGACTTTCAACAGCTTGGAAAATTCCAGAAAATGATGTCATGGCTTTAGAAGCTTCTGATAGGCTAATTGACATCATTTGAGTCAATTGGAGGTGTACCTGTGGATGTATTTCAAGGCCTACCTTCAAACTCAGTGCCTCTTTGCTTGACATCATGGGAAAATCAAAAGAAATCAGCCAAGACCTCAGAAAAAGAATTGTAGACCTCCACAAGTCTGGTTCATCCTTGGGAGCAATTTCCAAATGCCTGAAGGTACCACGTTCATCTGTACAAACAATAGTACGCAAGTATAAACACCATGGGACCACGCAGCCGTCATACCGCTCAGGAAGGAGACACATTCTGTCTCCTAGAGATGAACGTACTTTGGTGCAAAAAGTGCAAATCAATCCCAGAACAACAGCAAATGACCTTGTGAGGATGCTGGAGGAAACAGATACAAAAGTATATATATCCACAGTAAAACGAGTCTTATATCGACATAACCTGAAAGGCTGTTCAGCAAGGAAGAAGCCACTGCTCCAAAACCGCCATAAAAAAGCCAGACTACGGTTTGCAACTGCACATGGGGACAAAGATCATACTTTTTGGAGAAATGTCCTCTGGTCTGATGAAACCAAAATAGAACTGTTTGGCCATAATGACCATTGTTATGTTTGGAGGGAAAAGGGGTAGGCTTGCAAGCCGAAGAACAGCATCCCAACCGTGAAGCACGGGGGTGGCAGCATCAACCTGTGGGGGTGCTTTGCTGCTGGAGGGACTGGTGCACTTCACAAAATAGATGGCATCATGAGGAAGGAAAATGATGTGGATATATTGAAGCAACATCTCAAGACATTAGTCAGGAAGTTAAAGCTTGTTCGCAAATGGGTCTTCCATATGGACAATGACCCCAAGCATACTTCCAAAGTTGTGGCAAAATGGCTTAAGGACAACAAAGTCAAGGTATTGGAGTGGCCATCACAAAGCCCTGACCTCAATCCTATAGAAAATGTGTGGGCAGAACTGAAAAAGCGTGTGCGAGCAAGGAGGCCTACAAACCTGACTCAGTTACACCAGCTCTGTCAGGAGGAATGGGCCAAAATTCACCCAACTTATTGTGGGAAGCTTGTGGAAGGCTACCCGAAACGTTTGACCCAAGTTAAACAATTTAAAGGCAATGCTACCAAATACTAATTGAGTGTATGTAAACTTCTGACCCACTGGGAATGTGATGAAATAAATAAAAGCTGAATTAAATAATTCTCTCTACTATTATTCTGACATTTCACATTCTTAAAATAAAGTGCTGATCCTAACTGACCTAAGACAGGGAATTTTTACTAGGATTAAATGTCAGGAATTGTGAAAAACTGAGTTTAAATATATTTGGCTAAGTTGTATGTAAACTTCCGACTTCAACTGTAAATCTGGCAATGTGATACAGTATTTGTTTCCTTCAGATACAAGCTCTCTTTTTACTATTTGTATAAAATGCTAGCAAGTAAACTGTGTTGTATTGTGCGTTCTGAATGTTTGTGTTGATATCATTAATAATTGCATGAAATGATCAAAAAACTGTTTTTTATTTTGTTTTAATGTGGAGGTTGTATGAACAAGGCAGCCTCCATCTGGTAGTGCCAACTCTATTAAAATTATAATAATGACTCAACATGGACTCCATAAAACATCTCTGTCATGGGAAAAACTAAAGTGATGTAACTGAGCTGCAAGCCGATGATGAATTTCACAATTGGTCAACATGTTAGGCTTAGAGGTAAAGTTAGTGTTAGATTAAAGTTTAGGGTTAAGAATAGGGTCCGTTTTAGGTTTTGACTAGTCGGGCTGTCAATGGGATGCTGATCAGAAAAGTCCCTTATGTTTAGTCTTTTGGGGTTTGGGTCAGGGTTTGGGTTTTGGGTGGTGGATATGTACAGCACTTTGAACATTAAGCTACTAGTTGAAGTATTAGACAGCGATGACCATTCACGTTCACATGCCCCAGATCATGAGGGTTATTCATAAAACTATATAAAATGTATCAATCACCCTTTCGAGTTGAAAGGAGGAATCCAGTAGATATCCCAGACTGTGCAGAAACTGACATAGGTGATTGATAATTGCTGTAGCATCGTTTTGGTTGAGTACCTGTTTCATTCATCACAAATCAAGAGGTAGTCCTACACATATTATGAGGTACATTCATATTTATAATCTTGGCAATTGTACATATGCCTAAATAAATGAATGAAGTAGCACATAAGAAGTGATTCTTTTTTAGATGCACTGCAGTATTGCAGAAACCTGTTGTGTGTTACAAAATACTCAATCTGCGAACGGTAGAAAAGGAGAATGATGATCGTCTTGGAGTGGGGATGGCTGTCCATAAAATCTCACACAATCGTTCACATTTGGCTAGTTCAACCAGTGTAACTAATCAAATCAAATCAAATATTATTGGTCACATACACATATTTAGCAGACGTTATTGCAGATGTTATAACTATTGTGTAACAGAATGGATATGCATTCTCCAGAGTCACACCAGCAACAAATCAGAGCACACAAACAATTAATTCAAACTTACCAATAGCAAATCATACTGATTTACTACCGTAGTTACTCTAATAAGGTGTGACTAGAAAATGCATCTCCACGCTGTTCCACCAGTAGTCACTCCAAAGCTCTGTTTAGGCTGCGTTTAGACAGGCAGACCAATTATGATATTTTTTTCACTCATTGTGCAGCCTAAATGGCACGATACAGACAAACGTGGGAAACTCTTTTCATAGCACTTCGATACCGAAGTAACTTTTTTGTAACAGGTTCGGAGAACTTACACAGTAGGTTAGGAGAATTAAGGTAGCAGGTTAGGAGGCTGAGGTTCAGGTTAGGAAAAGGGTTAGGGTTATCGAAAATGCTCTCCTAACCTGCAACGAAAATCACTTTGTATCGAAGTGTCGTGAAAGGAGCGTGTCCAGACAAATGTCAGGTACATTTTTTATCTTGAGTTATTCAACCATAAAAAACTACTCAGTAGTATATGTAGACTAGGCATAAGTGCAGAGCATTTTCAATACATTGAAATGGATATATGCATCTAAAAGCAGTAGTAGGATGAAGTTGCCTCTAGATCAGTTTTGCATGTCCCCTATTGATGGTTAAGGTTAGGATTGGAGGAAGGGGAAGCTGATCCTAGATTGGTACCTAGGGAAACTTCACCCCTAAAATTAGAAAAGTTACAATTTGTTGCACTTTACTGCCCACGTGTGGATAACAGTTCCAACATACTTTTATACATTTTATTTCGAATTATGTAGTATTGCATTTAATGCCACTTTAACATAACTTACTGGTAGCAGAGGTTCTAAACATATGAGAATTTCTTATCTGAACCTGATTCAGTCACCAAAAAAAAACTGTCAGAAGTGGGATTCGAACCCACGCCTCCAGGGGAGACTGCGACCTGAACGCAGCGCCTTAGACCGCTCGGCCATCCTGACATACGTATTATGGGATTGCATCTTCATATTTAACCATCCAGACCAAGAACAACCACTTGACTTCAAATTCGCGTAAAATCAAAATTATATAGTTTTGGTTTCATTACAATGGCAGGATTTCGAAACTGCTTGATTTTTTTCAGACCAAATGCTAACACTTTATCAATCTCTCTGCCGTAACGGACAAATTCAAAACCGACGACTTCCACACCGACGTCGGCAACGAACAAAATAAAACGGGAGGAAGCTCCAGCAGCTGTGGCAGAGATTTTATAAACTAACCCATTGTTTGTTTATAACTAACTAGCTCATTGTTCTAGATGTGGCTGTGGCGTAGCTAAGAGTGGTAAGGCTAAAGCAACCGACTGTAACGTTAGACGAAAGTCGAGGAGTGAAGTCGAGGGAGGAGCATCTGCAACAGCCGAAAGTCAGACACTAAAATGGGTTTTGCAACAGCAAGGCTCAGATGAACATGGCTGAGTTGGCATTGTTTATAAAAGTGTTTCTTTATAATGTCGAAATCAACATATCTCCAACTCCCATATCACACACTCACAAACTGAAATCATATGTGTGTACAGTAACC